GGCAATAAATAAGTACATATCAATAATCGCCTTAAATGTAAATGGACTGAATGCTCCGATAAAAAGACACAGAGTAGCTGATTGGATAGGAAAGCATGACTCATCTATATGTTTTTTACAAGAGACCCACATCACAGCAAAAGACTGACATAGGTTGAAAGTGAAGGGATAGAAAAAAATCTTCCAAGCAAACAAAAAGGAAAAAAAAGCTGGGGTAGCAATACTCGTATCTAATAAAATAGATTTCAAAACGAAGGCCATAACTAGAGACAAAGAAGACCACTACATAATAGTGAAAGGACCTATCCAATAGGAAGATATAACCTCGATAAACATATACACATCCAATATAGGAGCACCAAAATATATTAAAAATCTTTTTGGAGGACTTCAAAGGAGAAATCGACAGCAATACAATCATAGCAGGGGACTTCAACACCCCGCTGACACCACTGGATAGATCCTCTAGATAAAAAATTAGTAAGGAAACAAAGACTCTAAATGAAGCACTAGACCAAATGGATTTAATAGATATCTACAGAGAATTACACCCCAAAACTACAGAATTCACATTCTTCTCAAGTGCACATGGGACATTCTCAAACATAGACCGCATGTTAGGACACAAACTAAGTCTCTACAAGTTCAAGAAGATTGAAATCATATCAAGCATCTTCTCAGATCACAATGGCATGAAACTAGAAATCAATTGCAACAAGAACATGCAAAGACATTTCAACACATGGAGGCTAAATAGCATGTTATTAAACAATGAATGGGTTACCGAGGAGATCAAGGAAGAAATTGAAAACTTTCTGGAAACCAATGAAAATGAACACACAACAACACAAAATACATGGGATGCAACAAAAGCCATTCTGAGAGGAAAGTTATAGCACTACAGGCCTACCTCAAGAAACAAGAAAAATTTCTAATTGACTGTCTAACCTCACAACTTAAAGAATTAGAAAGCAAACAAAAAGAAAATCCCAGATCAAATAGAGAAAATCCCAGATCAAGTAGAAGGAAGGAAATGGTAAAGATCAGAGCAGAAATAAATGACACAGAGACCAAACAAAACAATTCAAAAGATCAATGAAACAAAGAGCTGGTTTTTTGAAAAAATAAACAAGACTGATGAACCCTTAGCTAGATTCACCAAGAAACAAAGAGAGAGAACCCAAATACACAAAATCAGAAATAAAAGAGAAGTATCAACTGACATCACAGAAATACAAAAGATCGTTAACACCTACTATGAACAATTATATGGCAACAAATTTGACAATCTAAGTGAAATGGACAAATTTCTAGAAACACAGTCTCCCAAAGCTTGACTGGGAAGAGGTAAAAAACTTGAACAGATCAGTAACAACTAAAAAAATTGAAGATGTAATCTAGACTCTCCCAGCAAACAGAAGCCTAGGCCTGGACAACTTTATGGGGGAGTTTTACCAAACATTCAAAGAAGAACTAATACCCATTCTCCTCAAACTATTTTAAAAAATTCAAGAAGAATGAAGACTTCCAAACTCGTTTTATGAGGCCAGCATACTTCTAATTCCAAAACCAGAAAAAGACAATACAAAGAAAGAAAACTACAGGCCAATATCCCTGATGAACATAGATGCCAAAATCCTGAACAAAATACTAGCAAATTGGATCCAGAAATATATCAAAAAAATTATTCACCATAACCAAGTGGGATTCATCCTAGGGATGTAAGGCTGATTCAATATTCACAAATCAATAAATGTGATACACCACATAAACAAAATGAAGAATAAAAACCACATAATTGTATCAATAGATGCTGAAAAAGCATTTGACAAAATTCAGTACCCATTTCTGATAAGAACGCTCAGCAATCTGGGAATAGAGGGATCATATCTTGACATAATAAAGGCCATATATGAAAGACCTACAGTCAACATCATACTAAATGGGCAGAAAGTAAAAGCATTTCCCTTAAGAACAGGAACAAGGCAGGGATGCCCACTTTTGCCACTCTTGTTTAACATAGTACTGGAAGTCTTAACCACAGCAATTAGACGTGAAGAAAAATTTAAAAAGATCCAAATTGAAAAGAAGGAAGTGAAACTGTCATTATTTGCAGATGACATAATATTATACATAGAAAACCCTAAAGACTCCATCAAAAATCTACTAGACTAGCCCTGGCCGGTTTGCCTCAGTGGTTAGAGAGTCGGCCTGCAGTCCAGAGAGACCCAGGTTCAGTTCCCGCTAAGGGTGCATACCTAGGTTGCAGTTTGTCCCCGGCCCTGGTTGGGTCGTGAGTTTGGCAGCCACTCGATGTGTCCCTTTCCCGTCAATGTTTCTCTCTCTTCCTCTCCCTCCTTCCTGCTCTATCTGAACAACAACAACAACAAAAAAAAAAATGGAAAAATGTCCTCAGGTGAGGATAAAAAAAAAAATCTACTAGACTTAATAAATGAATTTGTCAAAGTAGCAGGATAAAAAAGTAACATCAAAAAATTGATGGCATTCTTATATACCAGTGATGAACTCACAGAAAAAGAAACTGAAAAAAACAATCCCATTTACCATCGCGGCAAAAATATTAAGATACCTAGGAATAAACCAAAGTAGTAAAAGACCTACTTGCAGAAAACTACAGGATATTGAAAAAAGAAACAGAGGAAGATATAAAAAAATGAAAGCACATTCCTGTTCATGGATTGGAAGAATTAACATCATTACTATATCCATATTACCCAAAGCAATCTATAGATTCAATGCAATCCCATCAAAATACAGACATACTTCACAGAACTAGAACAAATACTTCAAAAGTTCATATGGAACCATAAACGACCCCAAATAGCCGCAGCAATCTTGAAAAAGAAGGACAAAGTAGGTGGGATCACAATACCAGATATCAGGTTATACTACAAAGTGACTGTAATCAAAACAGCCTGGTACTGGCACAAGAACAGGCATATAGACCAGTGGAATAGAACTGAGAACCCAGAAATGAACCCCAGTTAATATGCTCAATTAATATTTGACAAAGGTGGCAAGAGCATACAGTGGAGTAAGGACAGCCTCTTTAATATATGGTATTGGGAAAATTGGACAGTTACATGCAAAGAAATGAAACTAGACCATCAATTTACACCATACACAAAAATAAACTCAAAATGGATATAAGACTTAAATGTGACCCGTGAATCCATAAAAATTCTAAAAGAAAATGTAGGCAACAAAATTTCAGACATCATATGCAGCAGAATTTTCACTAATATATCACCTAAGGCAACAGAAACAAAGGAAAAAATGAACACATGGGACTAAGTTAAACTAAAAAGCTGCACAGCAAAAGAAACAATCCTCAAGATGGAAAGGGAACCCACTATATGGGAGAACATCATGGCCAATGATACATCATCAGATAAGGGGTTAATTTCCAAAATATATAGAGTACTCATGCAACTCAACAAAAGGAAGACAAAGAACCCAATTACAAAATGGGCAGAGGAGCTAAATAGATACCTCTCCAAACAGGACATACAAATGGCCAAGAGACATATGAAGAAATGCTCAACATCACTAATCATCAGAGAGATGTAAATTAAAACAACAATGAGGTATCACCTCACACCTGTCAGAATGGCCACTATCAACAAATCATCAAACAAGTGTTGGCGAGAGTGTGGAGAAAAAAAAATTTAAAATTGAACTGACATTTGACCCAGTGATCCCACTTCTGGGAATATACCCTAAGAAGCCTGAAACACCAATCAGAAAGAATATATGTACCCCCCATGTTTGTAGCCTCGCTATTTACAATAGCTAAGATCTGGAAACAGCCCAAATGTCCATCAGTAGACAAGGGGATAAAAAAGCTGTGGTACATGTACACAATGGAGTACTACGCAGCTGTAAGAAAGAAAGATCTCTTATCCTTTGAGACAACATGGAGGGACCTGGAAAGTATTATTCTACGTGAAGCAATTCAAGCAGAAAAAGACAAATACCACATGATCTCACTTATTTGTGGAATATAACGAACTTAACAGTCTGAGGAATAGGGTAGACCCAGAAACAGGGTCTAGGATACAGACTGACAACCCTCAGAATAGGGGGTGGTCGGGGGAGGGAGGAGATAAACCACAGAAGTTACATGCATGTACGCATAACCAATGGACACGGATAACAAAGCCGGGGACGGGGTGTGGGGGATGGGGAGGAGGGTGTCAATGGGGTAAAAAAGGAGAAACATCTGTAACAAAAATAAAATTAAAAATAATAATAATAATAATAAAGAAAAGGAAACTCAGATCGGACCTAAGTACCATGCAGGCGTTCGTGTTCAGTGAAGAGAGAGGGTGTTTCTCGCAGAGAAGCACAGGATGTGGTCAAGGACAGTGAGGTGGCCCTTTTGGCGAAGTGACGATGAAGGGCGTGGACCCCAGGAATGTGGGTGGCAGGGGTCCCTCCCTCTATTCAACAGCTAGTGACCGAGAGTCCACCGTGCGCGGGGCTACCCAAGCGGTACCCGCAGGGACCGGTCTCCGCATTCCCGCTCTCGTGGAAGGATGGCTCGTTGCCCTAACGCTATCTCATTCTTCAGACCACGCGTGACCAAGAATATCTGAACAGGAACAAGGCAAGACCAGGCTTCTGTGTCCCAGAGACGCGTGGGGTGAGGGGGGTGAGATACCAGAGTGGAGAGAGCCTGGGAGAGAAACACCGGTTAAGAGGGAGACCTCGGCAGTGACCGGGGACCATGAGGCGGAGATTAATTTAGGAGATAGATTTTGAGATCCGTTGAGGAGGTAGGACCAGCAGACATCCTTCCCCAACTGCGTGAAGTCAGCATACGTTCTTTCTCCAGAAAGTGTCTGGAGGCAGGAAGGCGGGCAGAGCCAAAGCGTGAACAGTGGTTTGTAGAAGGACTCCCCCAGAAACGCTCAGAGCCCCCCCCCCCCCCGAGCCCCCGGCTGACGCGCCGACCCTGCAGACAAAGGCGGACTCACAGACAGAGTGCTTGTGGCTGTTCTCCTTGCTGGGCAGCATCTTCACTCCTCTTGACTTCAGTTCAATGGCCTTTTTCACTGGAAGAGACAAAATGAAGCCATTAGCAGGGAGGAAGGAAGAGAAACCAGAGCCCAGCGTCTGCCCTGGGCTTTCCTGGTTTCCCACCACGTCGGGGAAACGGGTCGCGTTCTGGGGCGAAAGGTGCAAAGCAAAGGAAGTCCAGGAGGTGTTTGTGAGCAATGCAAGGCTGTCCACGGCAGGGCCACATTGTATCATCACGCCAGAAGCTAAAGGTGACACGTACTGCCGACCTTGTACCCAGAGCCACGCACCAGCGGCGGTGGGTCCCCTGGGTCATCATTTCACCACTGTGCTCGGGCTGATTCCTGACTCAGCTGAGGAGCAGTGACTGTGGCATTTTCTAAACTCGCTACAGTCACGGAGATGCTGGATACAAAGGAAGCCGCTCATCTGTTCATTCGCAGACACATGTAATCACGCCAAGTTCAGCAGAGATGCGCAGAGGGAGAGCTCGTGTGAGAAACGCACGTTCGAGTCGTTGGGGACAAAGTGAAAGAAGCCAAGTCCCTCCAGACCGTATAACTGATATGCAACACGAAGAGAATGTGTGGGATTTTGCTGTCTAAAGTCCTGGTTCTCAGACTTCAGTCAGTGTCCTAATTTCTCCAGGACATGGACCACACATTGTAAGACATTCTACTCTTCTCGTCCCTTCTTAAAATAAATAAATTAAAAAAAAATGTGTGAAGGCATTTGTGGGAAAAAAGTAGAAAATAATATTTTAACTTCTGGTTCACATACGTGGAACTAGACCCGGAGGAGGGGAAGCATTACGATCCGGGTTCAGATCTCTGCTTACAACTCGGTAGCCCTGTGACCTGTGTAGGTTACTTCACCCAGAGAGTGTCAGTTTATCTGGAAAATGGCTGTGATGGATAACTTTCTGGGGTCAACTTGACTGGGCTACATAGTGCCAAGGTAGTTGGTCAAACATTATTCTCGGCGATCCCTTTTTTTTTTTTTAAGATGTTTTTATTGATTTTTTAGAGAGAGAAAGAGAGAGAGAAACATTGTTGAGAGAGAGAAACATGTATCGGCTGCCTCCTGCACGCCCCCTACTGGGGACCAAGCCTGCAACCTGAGCACGTGCCCTGACTTGGGACTCGAACCAGGACCTCTCAGTCCATGGACGATGCTCAATGCGCTGAGCCACGCTGGCCAGGCAGTTCTCAGGGACTCACTGCGGGTGTTTTGTGATGAGAGTAACCTTGAAGTTGATAGACAGAGGAAAGCACACTGCCCTCCCTAATGTGGGTGGGCCTCACCTAACCGGCTGAAGGTCGACTCGAACAAAAACCTGACACTCTTCCAGGTAGGAGAATTCTTCCTGCGTGGCTGACGTCACACTGGGGAACTGATGTTTTTCCTGACCTCAGGTTCAAACGGAAACACGCGTTCTCCCTGGGTCCGAGGCTGCCAGCCCCTGGACAGAAACTGCAGCGACCACTGCCCTGCCGCTCCCCCCAACTCACCCCGAAGATGTTGGGGCTTCTCAGCTCCATCATCCTGAGAGCAGATTTCTTACAATAACCCGTATATATTATACATGCTCCTCTAGGTCTGGATCTCTGGGGAGCCCTAACACAGAGGGCATGCTGGTAAGGACCGCAGGTCTCGACACCATGGACGCACTGTCTTCGCCAGGGGACCCTGCACAGGCCAGCTCGGCACCTGACAGTGTTTGCTGTCACTTCCGATCACTCGCACCCAAATGGCTGCCCTGGGCGTGCTGGGGATTCCCGTCTGGGATCATCCTTTCATCGCTGATGTTACTAGACGCCTGTTTCCTCTCCACTCTCCTTCCCTTCTGGTCACTCCGGGACCAGGTCTCTGTGACACCACCTCGCGGAGTCCCTCACGCCACTTCCCGTCTCGCCGCGTCACGGTGGCATCTTGAAATGCCCTCTACGTTAGGAAGCACCTTCCAGCACATGGTGACTTTGGCCCCCACAGCCCTCTGAGGCAGGGGTGTGTGGACGCCGCGCTCACATTAGCCCATCGGGGTCCCGGATCTGCGCCCTCCCTGGCATCACCCAGTGGAGTCTGGCTGCGGGTTTCAAATCATGTTCCCGTTGATCTAATCACGTAACCTGACAAACAAGTTATCTGAGATAAACCGGGTTGTCTAACCTTTCCCAGTGAGTGTGAGTCCTTCACCTGTGTCCTTGTCCAGGTGAGAGTGTGGATTGGAGATGAGGGACCCCACTCCTGATGCCGAGGGCACCGGGGCGACATGGAGATGCCCTCCCAGAACGCCCGGCCAGCGGCCACTGTTCAGGACCCCTTTCAGGACCCCTCCGTGGCAGACAGACGCCTGCCCACGTCACCTCCAGGGGCACGCCACACCAGGGACGAACCCACGTGAGGACCAAGGCCCAGCGCAGGGCCACCCTGAGTTATTTCAGCCCCAGCGCCCTGCGCATAATCGCCGAGGCTGAACCCTCAGGCACCAGCCTCTCCCTCCCCCATGACTCCTTCTCTGGTCCTGTTCACACAAGTCACCCCAAAGGCTCCCACTGAGCACCTGCCCCCAACGCCCTTCCCGAGAAGCAGCACAGACCCCAGGCGTCCTTCTTCTCCTTCCTGTGCACCCTCCGTCTATGTCCTGTCTGCATGGTGACCACAAGCACCACCGGAACAGGGCAAAGGTCTGGAAACTGCTCTCTCACAGTCCTCCCGGCTGCTGGATGGGTCCCATCTCCCAGGACAGGCTCTGGGGCAACCTCGGCGCCGCCCTCTTGGGCTGAAATCTCCCCTTGAACTTGCTCAGGAGGGAGGAGGCACAAGCACAAGGAACAGAGAATCAGTGGGCAGAATAAACACAAAGCACATGTCGCCCAACGCAGACAAAGCAGACAAGCAGGACTCCACACACCGGAGAATGAAAAGAAAACATAAGCAGTCGCCAGGCGCGGTCAAGGGATCCGGATACACAGGGCCTGTCTGAAGGTCCCAGGGTTTTTTAAAATTTTGCAAAAAAATGTGCTGAGCTAATTTCCACCAGGGATTTTTTTTTCCCCTCCGGAAAGATGGTGCCTTTCTGCTGCGGACTGAGCCCGGCAGAGGTCCTGGGCAGCCTCTGGGCCGAGCTCTTCTGACTGGACACTGCAGCTCCAGCCTCCTGAGTGCACCCCGGGCCTTCTGCTCTCCCCTTGCTCCCTGGGGCCCCCTCTCCTCCTCCTGCCGCCTACAGCTCCCCTCGGGCAGGACAGACTCCCACTTGGGGGACAGTGCAGCAGGCGGGGCGGGTGGGGGGCAGACAGAAAGGAGCTGCATGCACACCCCAGGAGGACAGATCGCAGGGGGATTCCTCCACAGCCCAAAGCGATCCGTGATCAGAGCGCGGAGCCCGTGCATCGTCGGGTCTCGGAAGGGGTGAAGGAATCACTCCCCTGGGTGATACGAAGGCTCGCTCTCGGTCCAGCCCAGACCCAGTGAATGAGGAGCCCAGGCGGGGCGACCCTGCAGGCTTCCTGTTCTTAGCCAGTTACCCGGGTTTGCATGCGTTTGCTTAGCTCATTTGGTTTCTTTTCTGTTTGTCAGTTTCCGTGCCCAGTCCCGGCGTTGTGTCTGACCCCAGACACCTTGGGCCCACATCAGCCAACTCGGAGCAGATTCACGGGTCAACGGCGGCATTGGGTTCCTGGTGGAGACCCTCAATCCCCAGGGCTGGGGGCAGGGGATGGAAAGCCATACCAGGGCGCCCCCCGTTGTAACGCAGAGGTCTTGACCGTAGCACCTCTGCCAACACATACAAGACGATATTTACTGACGGGGTTCATGACCTCTCTCCTTTATTTGCATCAAAAATAATCAGTGTCGCTGTTCATTTATTTTTTGAGATAAATCTTACTATTCCCTCCTATACATGATTTTAAAGGGAGTTCAGTGATGACTACAATATTTTTTAAAATCTAGAAATCATTGTTTTCTTTTGTTAGATTATTTTGCCAGTAGCTGCCCTCACAGGCTTACCTATATTCAGGTATTTTTACTTTTTTTTTATTATTAGATTTTACAATGTCCTTGAACGTGGACCCTGGAGGAAAACTGACAACCAAGTTTTAGGAACTAGATTATTACATTTCAATGTTATTCTTAAATCATCCCGTATACCATGGTCCTATGTAAGCTCACTGTTCTGAGAGACCGTTGCATCTGAAAAGCTACATGTATCCATTTCTTATGCTTCGTGATGTTAACAGTTTCAATGCTCATGTGCCCTGTCGCCTGCTGATCGGAACCTTTCAGTCCTATGGCACTTAAGATGGCCCTTAAATTCAAAGACGCACCTTCCCTGCAAAGGCGCATCGCGGCGCAGATGATCCTGGGCGAGGCGTGTGAGGATTAGTGGGGACACCCCCCCGCACTGCTTATTGGCTTCTTCACCAACTTAGAGTGTGATTACAGCAAAACGCACTATGAGAAGGCAATTAACTTTACAGTATGTGTCTCCGTGTGCTTTACTAAACACTAGGTGATATGTCTCCTGGGATTTAAGTTGTCAGACCGAAGGCCGCTGGGGATTAACTGGGAATGTGGTGGGATTCAGTGTGAATGCGGGGGGATTCAGTGTCTTTCACTCCGCTTTGCAGTGATTCACTGGGTTACTCCACAGGAGTTACTCCAATCATTTCCTCCAAAACAGGGAGCTGTAGGGGGCCATGGGGTCCAGAGGGAAAGGAAGGGGCACCCACTGAGAAAACTGGGGAACTCGGGGAAGAGAGAGAAAGGGGGTGATGATGTGCCCCCCAACCACTAACCATCCCACCGTGAGCCCCGTACAGAGACATATAAACCGTTCAGGGGTCTGAACAGAATAACCTCTGAGAGTCCACACTTTCCAATACAGAGCGTGTGTCTTTTTCCTTCAACACACTCTCTCGTCTATGTTTCTTCGTGTGAAACAATGTCCTACTGTGATGTCCCCCGTGGGGCTCCCAGAGCCATTCTGTCCTGTACGGTGTGTGACTGCTGCCTGAAAGGTAGGGTCAGC